TGGACTAGAAGACCTCCAAGGTCTCTTCCAACTCTGTTATTCTATTCTATTCTAAGAGAAAGTCAGTACGCTTGGAAACCGTTCTAACCCTATGCTTAAATGGGATTTCTCCTCCTCTGTTTACCAATTATTGGTCCAGGATGGCTGGTGTCCAAAACTGGGGGTGGAGGCTCCTTGACCAGAGATACTCTTATCCTACCAGCAGCAACAGAGGTTTCTCGTGACTTTTTAATCCTGGCAGAGAAAGTATTTCTATTGTTCAGTACACACTTTGCAGCCTCATTGTTGATTTGGTAGAGATGGCATTGGGATATATCTGAATTTGAAAGTGAAATGTTTATTCATACAGTAAGTAATCCTATAATCACAAGATTTCTTGTTAGCAAAAGTGGCAAATGTGCTTGTGCAAATGCAGCCCAAGGGACTATGTTCCACAGGGAAATTTCTTGTGTGTAATCGGCTCCAATCTGATAGGTTTAATGAAGCAGGGATCGATGACTTGACAACCCAGAATCTGATGCTGATGCTACTTGGGGATTTCCTCCCGCCTCTCTCACCAATACTGTATACAAGAACAGATGTTTCTTAGTATTGGGAAGACTGCTGCAACGGATTTTTCACCACACCAGTCCTCAGAAAGCAAAAACAGGAAACATCTAATTTAGTAGTTATATTAAAAGTTGTTTCATAGTTTAGGTTTATCATTTTTTTTCCTGGCCAGGATAATTGAATTTTTAAACAGCTATTGAAAAGTGAAAGTTGTGGGATCTTCATTTCTGGAGATTTTTTAACAGGTGAAAAGCCACTTCTTGAGGAGAGCTAATAAACTGTGGTTCAGCATATTAAAAATTGTGTAAGCATTTTTCATGTTCCTATTATTACTAAAGCAAAAATATGTAGAAAAATGTATGACATACCAATACTTGCACTCAATTACAGTCAGCATTTTTTGTTTTCAGTTCCCATTTTTTTGAAATCAACACTTTCCTGTGGAAGAAAGTTCAATAAATCCGCACAATATTTTCTGAAGCAAAATATACATATATTGATGAAATGTATTATATATAGGTGGATAATGGAAAAAACAAACTTTTAGCCAAGATGAGTCTGGAATTACTTCAAAGTTCCCAGTTTCTTAACAGAAAATGAATAGTAAGATCTGATAAGAATGGCATGAGATATAAGATCTTTTCACCACTTCAATAAACATTGAGTATCTTTATTCCCAAAGTAATTTGGAATGTGTGTTGATAGAAATCTTTGTTCTAATGTCAGGCAGGAAGGTCCCATCCTAATTCTGATATATTAGTCCTTTCTCCACTAGCAATTTACAGCAGCACCATAATGCCTCTTGGTTCCTTCTTGGTCAGAAAAGGCTAGTCTCATTTTATTACAACTTCTTAATGTAAACAACATTCAATAGTTATTTTGCATATCAGCATACATGTGATTTTTCCCTTAAAAATCTGATTTTGCCCTGTCACACCTTGGGAGCTTCATTATTTTATTACTGAAAGAAGGGGTAAATTTTGCAGTTGTGTTCTTGCTCAGTTCCCAAATAGCATTATGTGAGTTGCAACATCCCTGCTTTTTGTTATTTGTTTGATAATTACATCCCACCTTTTTCTCTAGGTTCTCAAAGTGGCATATATCGCCCTCTCCCCTTGCTGCACACAATGTTGTGAGGTAGCTCAGGCTGAAAGGAAAACTCAATGAAAATTATGCAGTGGCTGTGGACTATGGCTGTGGGTGTGCTTGAATCTCCCCGTGACAGTCCACTCCTTAATCATTATACTATATTTGCTCTGTATGTTATAGATTATAGAACACTGAAATGAGGGATAATATTGGCTATTTCTAATTGTGTGTATTTGTCAGTTTCAGCCAGTCCCTCACTCAATTACTAAGAGTGAAAGGGCTTTCTGGCTATTTGTTTCAGCCATCCAGATCCTTAGATGTTTCCTTGCAGTTATCTAATTATGTCTGTCAAAATATGAATCTGGCACTATTCCATTAATTAAAATAGAGATGCATACACTTTTAGAATTTGGAGTCACTTTCCCATTGTGCTTACTGTCAAGTTAATTTTATTTTTTAAGAGTTTCAAAAGGTGCACGGGACGGGCAAGCAAACTGATCTAGAGGCCAGAATGCTGTAGAACTGTGCAGTTACCACACCCAACACTTTCCCAGTGCAGTTCTCCCATTGTGGATGAGTGATGATGCTTTGAAGGAAAAACAGAAGACACAAATCCAGAGAAAACCAATCCTGCCTCTATAATGAGGCACTCACAAATCTGGACAATATGGTTGGGCAGGGAATTGCAAAAGGCAATAAAGAGATTGACAACGTAGAAGGTGCATAACCCTGCACACTGCACAAGTCAAAAAGAGGGCCGTGAAAATATTTACAGACCGCTCACATCCTGAATATAAATTGTTTCAACTCCTACCCTCAAAATGATCACTGCACACCAAGACACAAGAACAGCCCCCCCCCCAAATGCCATCACTCTGCTAAACAAATAATTCCCTCACCACTGCCAAGCTATTCACTAAGGCTGCATTACTATTGCTACTAGTCTTATCGTCATTCCTATCACCCATCTCCTCTGACTTATGACTGCAGGACTGTAACTTCATTGCTTGTATCCTTACGATTGATATTGATATTGTTTCCTGATTGCTTATTTGTACCCTATGACAATCATTAAATGTTGTACCTTGACTCTTGACGAATGTATCTTGTCTTTTTATGTACACTGAGAGCATATGCACCAAAGACAAATTCCTTGTGCATCCAATCATACTTGGCCAATAAAAATTCTATTCTATTCTAGTAGCCACCCATTCTTATAATGGTAATATTTTATGGTGACAAGGTGGGTGATGCTTTAAATGAATAGCTACACACATGAGGATGTGGCCCAATAAAGATAATGGGACGTGGTGCAGATTGGTGGCCTGAGTCCCCCCACCTCCACCCTCCTCCCCAGTAGCCTGCGATAGGCAGAATTCACTTTGCAGAGACCACCGGCCAGAGACGAACAGTGGGGCAGCCTCCCTCCAGCAGGCGGAGGTTTGTAAGCGGACCGTCTCTGACATCAGGAGCGCTCACGCTCGCGACGTCAGGCTGCGGTGGGGCCGAGCGAGCGTTGGCGCGACGGGCCAGGACTCCGTGCAGGGCTGCGCATGCGCCGCCGGGGGTAGGTGGCTGTTGGTCCAAGAAGGCTGGGGCTGCTGCTGGAAGGTGAGTGGAGCCTCGGGACGGATCGGACTTCAAAGAGAGGCGTTGTGGTTTCTCTTCCCCTCCGGGCGGAGAGCCTGGTCCTTGGGTTTGGAAGATCCCTGGGGCCGTTTGGGTAGGGGAGCCCTCTTCCCAGCCTCCCCCTGGCCGGTCGCCGTCCTCGCGGGTGGGGGGGGGGGGTTGGTCTCGACTCGGTCCAAGGGGTGCAGGTATCCTGGCCCCGCCGCCGCCCTTATCCTCCTCTCTCTCGAAGGAGGGGCTTTCCGGAGCTTTGGTTTGCCCCCCTCGAGAAAGCGAGGGGCGCTGTGAAGGGCCTGCTGGCTGTACCGCTGCGGTTTGGAGAGGACAAGCCAGAATGGCTGAGATTGTAAACACGGGAGTCCCCCCCCCCCTCCGCGGCCACGCACCCTTGATCCACCCGTCGGCTCCGGGGGCTCTTTTTCCTCTGACGGCGCGTGACAGCTTCTCGTGGTAAAGGATCCAAAACGGTCGGAGGATTGAGAGCTTTCCCGGAGGGGTGGATCTTGGGTAGAAAAGCGCAGGCCTTGAATCTTTGTTGTGTTCGATTGGGAGTATTTCTGGCTTGAGAAGCCCATTGGGAGCTGTTTTAAAATTTGATGGTCATCGACCGCTACAGTAATGAGCAAAATGCTATACTTAATTGAATATTTTCTTTCTCCATCAGGAATACGAGGACAGCCAAGGAATCTTTGCTTATCAAAAGTGGAGCGGTTGCTTTTTATTTTCCTGCTATCTTGAGAGAAGTAACTTCCTGCCTTTTGATTTCTGTGTTTTGGAGGCCTTTTAACTTTTTGCAGAATGCAAAGATGCACTTGATACTTTCCATGGGGGCCTGAGGTTGTGTATAAAAGCCCGGGCTTGTTTAATTTTGGATTGTCTTTTCCTGTATTGGGGAGAGAGGTGGGCCGTGGATCTTGGCTTTACAGTCATCGGTGACCAAAAGAAATGGAGGAGAAGGAGCGATGTGATCAATTCAGTCTGACACTCCTATGTTAAAGTCTCTCAAAACAATTTTTCAAGGGAAAAAAACTAGAAGAGAAGAGAACGATATACTAAAAGCAGTTTCTTCAAGTTAAGGAAGAAGGTAGGAGAATGGAAGAAGAATGGTTCAAATTTTGAAGTTGCTTTTGCCACTATCAAATAAAGAAAACAATTGAAATCCAACTGCAGGTTTACTATTTGTGCTGAAGTTGTCTATAAAGGAAAGAGCAGTTCCCTATTTGTTTCTTTTGAAAAACAAGCTTCAGAAACATTATCTCCAATCTTCACATCAACACCACTTAAAAAAAAATGAGTTGCATGCCATGGAAAGGTGACAAAACAAAATCAGAATCGCCAGAAACGCCACAGGTGATGCCAGTGCACATTTATCATGAAAAACAGCGCAGAGAGTTATGTGCCCTCCATGCTCTCAATAATGTCTTCCAGGACAGCAATGCCTTTACACGAGACACATTACAGGACATTTTCCAGAGGTAGGAAAAATGGTTTTATTATATTATTGTGGAGTGTTTGCTTATATTTCTTTGGTAGACTAGATCAGATCTTATAGAGATTTTCCTGATGTTTTGTTATTAAACTCTTCTACCATTCGGTTCCCTTTTATCTTCATAAATTAGTCTACCTGCCTATCTTAACTTCAGACAAAGAAATAAAAGCCACTTAGGATTATATTACACATTTTTAATGTCAAGAATGTAATGAATGAATCAATAGTTAGGCACGAGTTTCTGTTAAGGATGCCAATTCAACTCTAGCTATTGAGCATTTGGTGGCCCATAATCCATTAAGCTTCTGTTGGAGACTTAAACAGCAGGTCTGTGAGTGTCCCTGTCCTTTCCTGTCCCCTTTTGACTGCAAGGGTTCCTGTCAAGTGCCTAAGACATCCGTCTTTCTGATTTACAAATTAATAAAAGCTATGAAAAAAGGCAACTTTCAGTTTAACATCTATATACTATTAAAACTCTCTTTATGACCTTTAACTGTGTGAAACGGTGCATCCTAGAGCAATGACTTTTAAACTAAGATACCTCAAATGGGCTAATTTATAGAATATGTCCAGAATCCATGACCTATGACTCCCAAGGAATGAAATTTGGGGAAGTTCTAATTGCTTCAGTGCTACTGGCTGCCGCTGCATTGCTGAACTACTACTACAGTCACATGATCTTCATTTTCAATGTTCTGTGACACTTTCTCAGCCAGTCGCACAATCCCCTGCTCCCTCCCCCACCAAGCAGCAGCCACTTATCTACCTACTGAAAAGGGAAGGGAAAAGAAGAGGGAAAGGAAGATCTCTGATACTCCCTGCCAGATTCCCACAAGAAAAGTTAATGGGGAAGCCATCAGGACTGAGAAGTCAGTTCTGTTCCTGCTGCTTTTTGGCCCACCCTTGTTCATCCTGTTTCTGTTTAGGTAAGAAAATATCTCTGAAACAATGACCCAGTGGGATGCAAATTGTCTAGTTTCCCTCAGTTTCAGTTATATATTTATAAGGTTGGCTTCAACTGGTTAGCTAGCTCTTTTCTACACAGTAGCTATGCTTCTGCCACAGTTCATCTCTAAAAGGAGCCAGTGATATGGCTATTTTTATATAAGTAACCTAGAAAACATCTTGATGCATATTAAAATATAGTGCCATTGAAGTCTTTCAGATACTAATCCAATCCCTTACCTTCCATAAAGAATTGGAAAGATGCAGGGACCATCTGCTATCACCAAGTGCCATTCCTGTAGGATCCACTGAAATACTTACGTGTTAAAGCATCTGATTTGCATTCAGCACAGTCCAAATTCTTACTAGGTAATGCTGAGAAGAACTTCTGATATCCACCTGAGTTTCTGCCAATCAATACTGAACTAGATGAAACATTGGTTGTATAAGGCTACTCTCCATATGTTTTATATTTGATATCAAACTCTAAAGCAATAATGGATTATTTCTCTTGAAAATTGAAATTGCAGATTGGCTTGAGTTGAAAAGCTGTGCTCCCAGCTATTTACAAACTTCATTTTTCAAACACTTTATGGCTAGATTTCTTTGTACATTTATAAGAAGTCATGTAAATGCATAAATCATGCTTTATATTTTGAAATATGCTCATTACTAATAGTTGTTAAAATAAAAAACTATAATGCAATTGATTCAATAGCTCTTTGCAGTGTTTATACCAATGAGAGTTTTTACCTTATCTGGGCTTTACAAGACTCATTAAGAAGCAATGCATTAAAAGTTAATTCTTGTGACTTAGTGAATTTTGAATGATAAACTTTGTGAAGTTTATCACTAGCATGAGTGGGATGGGCTTGTCCCATCAGGGAGAGACAGCTCCTCAGATACCCACGACCCATGATGGTGAATCTATGGCATGCAGGCCACAGGTAGCACATTGCCATCTCTGCAGGCTCGCGAGTCCAGTTCGCAGCTGAGCTCCACCACGCATGCGCATGTGCCCACCAGCCAGCTGGTCTTCTGGTTTCTTCCGCGCACATGGGAGGGGTGGGGTGCATGCAAGGGAAGCATGCATTCATGCATGGGGGGGAAGCATTTGCATGGGGGTGCTTGCATTGCATTTTGGGGGTTTGCCTTTGTTGGTGCAACTGGGCATGACTCTGCCCCGAGATGCTGGCCTGCCACCGCCATTACTGCCTCTTTGCCGGTGAACAGCCTGCAGCCTCAGCCTCTTTATTGGCATGAACGGCCTGCAGCCACAGCCTCTTTGCCGGTGCAAGGGACCCCCGTGCCCCGTTTTGGCTTCCAAGTTGGTGCAGGAGGCTTTCCAGGCCCAAAACGGGGCATGTGGAGGCCTTGCACCAGCAAAAAGGCTGCAGCAGCTGGCCATTCCTGCCGGCAAAGCTGCTGTGGTGGCAAGCTGTTTGCACCAGCAAAGAGGCTGCGATGGCAGGCCGTTCACACCAGTGAAGAGGCAGCAGCAGCAAGCCATTTGTGCTGGCAAAGAGGCTGTGGCAGCAGGCCATTCGTGATGGCAAAGAAGTAGCGCCAGCGCCAGGCCAGTGTCTCAGGGTGGAGTCCTGCCCAGCTGCACCAATAAACGCTGGAAGTAGTCGCCCGCTGTGTTTTGGGTTCCAGGTTGGTGCAGGAGGCTTTCCAGGCCCAAAATTGGGCGTGGGGTGTCATGCGGAAGGGAAGGGCTGGGGCGGATGTGGGGAGGCACATGCACATGCACGGGCGCATGTGAGGGGGCACTCACATTGCATTTTGGGGTTCAGGACACGTGCATGCATTCATGCGCATGTGCTTTGAACACTCAGCACCCAAAAGGTTAACCATCACTGCCCTAGACCCTCGCCATGTAGGGCTTTAAAAGTAACAACCAACATCTTGTATTGCATCTGGAAGCAAACTGGTTATAATGCAGTTCACACAATAAAAGTGTTACATGTGCAGCCTTAGGAGTTCCCAGGATTGTGCTTGCTGCTGCATTCTGCATCAACCGCAGCATCCAAATATTCCTCAAGGTTAACCCCAGGTAAAGTATGTTGCAGTTATCCAACTGAGATATGACTAGGCATGAGTGATCATGCACAGAACTTTACAACCCAGATAAGTGCCCAACTGGTGCACAACACAACATGAAATTGAACAGAGGCCATCCTAGCCATGACTGCCACCTACACTTTGAGCAGGAGTTGAGAGTCCAAGAGGACACCCAAGGTGCACAACAGATGCAACACCATCCAGAGTTAATTATGTTAAATAATTTTATGATCTTTCTTGCCACAGTTGTTAAATGAATCACTGCAGTTAAGTTAGTAACACAATTGTTAAGTGAATCTGACTTCCTGATTGACTTTTACATCATGCCTTCAAAACAGAATTTTCTTTTTTTCTTAAAATGTTTTTAAAAGTGTTGTATATTGAAGTCTTTGTTACAATTATATTTATTTAACATAAAGTTTATATTCTTGTTTTAAAATAATTTGCAAACTTGTGTTGCAGGTTCTGTAATGTTTTCTGCTAGCAGTATTTTTTCAAAAGATACTTGAAAATAGGAAAATTACACATATTAATTCATACATAGCAAGAATTTGGAGAGAACAGTGCAAAGTTTTGGCTGCAAGTGCATACATAAATGTGTACTGGTAATTTTTAATAGGAATCTTTATTCAACCTAGCTACCTAATTACCTCTTTCATATGATTTGGGATAGCGCACTCTTTTTTTCAAGCACTGATACTCTGCAAGGTAATGTCTAGAAGGGTTTTTCCTAATTTTATCTTTACAGGAACTTGGTCTGTGTAACTGGCTAGTAATCTAGTGAATTCCGTGGTCAAATGGGAATTTGAACTGAGGCTCCATGTAATGGCATGTTGAGAACTGGAGAGAGATCTACTTTCTAACTAGCTAGTCATTCCTCAATTATCAGCTAAGAAAACTGTTCAATATGAGTCATTAGGATATGGAGAAAGTTTCTGCCTTAGGAAATAAATTCTAGAGGGGGAAAGCAAACCAGTTGTTGAAATTTTTGTATATTATTCTGACTTCTTTCAATATATCTTTCTTAAGATTTTTATTGGAGGATTCATGCTTGCTGTGAGATGAGGCAGCCAGGAACTTGACAAGTCAACACCTTACAATTATAATAGTACATTGTCTTATTGTTTGTTTGTTCATTTGTATTATTTGTTTGATGACTAGGCTATCTCCCAACACCATGGTGACACCACACAAGAAAAGTATGCTGGGTAATGGAAACTATGATGTGAATGTCATCATGGCAGCTCTTCAGACCAAAGGTTATGAAGCAGTTTGGTGGGATAAGCGCAGGTAATCCAGAGTATACATTTATTGTCATTACGAATGGCTGATTTGAAAAGATGTAAGAATGTGCTCTTTCCTTCCTCTTTCGTTGTTCAGGGATGTTAACGTAATTGCCCTTTCCAATGTCATGGGTTTCATAATGAATCTGCCCTCAAGCCTCTGCTGGGGTCCACTGAAACTTCCTCTTAAACGGCAACATTGGATCTGTGTCCGGGAAGTGGGAGGAGCCTACTATAACCTTGACTCCAAACTAAAGGTTCCTGAATGGATTGGTGGTGAAAGTGAGCTCAGGTAGGTTGTCTTTGTTAATCTGAGACTTGAGTGCTATCATCTGCACACACTGAATTTATCATCTGAATAACATCATTTGGCTTTAGGCAATGAAATCTCCCTTCCTTCTTCCCACTAACCCCTCCAAATTAATCAACTATTCCAACAAAGTGAGATTGTCTCACTTTGGATTCTTGTACCTTTATATAAAAAATATAGTTATATTTTTATGTAACTCTTTTCACTACTTATGGCACATAAAAGTTTTGAACTGAGATGCTCAGTATTTGGAAATAGTATCAGTTGCTGAATTCAGTGGATTATATTTGAATTACACAAAATTTATACAACTCACTAAATTATTTCATGCCAAGATCAAGCCACAAGCAGCAGCAGTTAGTCTTTAGCCAAGTTAGCACACAGAGAGGTACTAGCTCCAAACCACAGGTTTGCTATTTTTCATGTGTTTAAAATAGCTTGTTCTCAGGAATATAGAAGGGAATAGCCCATGTGAAAACATTTCTTTCAAGTAGCGGCTGCTGGATCCAGTAAAGAAAGATCCAACTGCACTGCATGAAGAGCATGCGATGTTCTTCATACATTAGACTTTTGATTATTACAAATCAATGAAGAAATACTTTTTGATTATTAGTTTGTGGCTTCTTCTAATAGCATATGCAACACTTTTTTTTACCGTGACCTTTTATAAAGCTAAACAGAGCAACATAGCTTTATGCTTGTTTAGCCAAAGATTCAACAATATAAGCAAGCTATTTTTGAGGTAAAATGCACTGCTGCATTTGATCTGCCTTAAAAAAAACCCCGCAATGCCATATATCGTATTGCAACTCTTGAATTCTTAAATTTCAGTATGGAAATTTAAGAACAGTACAAACCTACCCATTGGCAGCAGTCCTATCCTTATATTTAAAATGGTTCTCAATCTCTGAATATTTAATTTAGTGATCTCTTCCATTACCACTTTATTCCATTAACTAGCTCCAGTAAATCCAGCAGAGATGCTATCTATGCCTCATTTCATTGATTACTACAGTTTCTCCAAGTCTCTATAGCTGGAGAGCATAATAAAAGAACAACAGGTAGGAGAGTGGAACTTTTCAGGATAGTTTGCATATTCCTAACACTCTGCTGTTTACAAAAATTCCAAAATATACTCAAAACTTTATTTGTGCCCTTTTGTGCTTTCTATTTCCACAGGAAGTTTTTAAGAAACCAGCTGCAAGGAAAGAACTGTGAACTTCTGCTGGTAGTACCTGAGGAGGTAGAAGTACATCAAAGTTGGAGAGTTGATGCATGACCTGCAAAATATCTTATCTTTGCACTACAGTACTGGTCCTTCTCCCTTCCAACTTCTAATGTCCTGTGATGTGGATAACGAGCACTATACTCTCCCCAGGAACTTTCCATTATGAAGGTGCAATAAGGCAGTCACAAGATACTGTCAGGGCCAAACCAGATTATTGAAGCTGGATTTAGGGGAAGAGGTAGAAGACAGTTTTGCATTCTTTCATTATAATGCATAATGAATTAGAAATGGAGTATTGGGATTCTCTCCATTAAATTCTGATTCACTTTCTTACCCACCATCCTAAAATACTTTATATTGAATTGTACACTACTGTCTGTAGGAGTCTCTATAGTTGGATGGTTTCTCTCTCCTTCAGGAGAGGTTTGAGACGAGGCATGTTCCCTTCATATCTATGACTCCCTTCTCTACCAAACTTACGTTGAAGAAACTTGCAAACGGTATGGGTCTCTCAGGAAATTTTAGATACTCTTAGCAATGGTATGGTGCTTGTGGATTCCCTATTTAAATAGCAATTGTGCCAACAGTTAGGGAAAATATTGACAAAACGGGACCATAATTCTGGAACTCCTATTGGAGTTTGGGGCTTTTCTTTGTCATACTTGACATTTTTTTGATTTGAGAATGAGCGAGTGAATAATTTGGGGAGATAATTGATGCTTATTTTTCAAAAACCTCAAATATTTTTGGTTAGGTGGGTCAGGTATAGCCTCTTTTTATTTATCTTGTTTGTCCTGTAATTCAGGGAAATAATTCACTGAGCAGGGAATATATCAACAGACTTCTTAAGGATGAAATCATGACATAAAAGGAAATTATAGCCAAGTTTTTGTAAGGTAGAACATTGTTGAAAGGGCAAATGTTAATTTTGCAACCTATTGTGGGGAACAAATCCAAGGATTAGAGTTTGGTTCTTATTTCAGCTGATAATAGTTGAGATTAAAAAGTTTCTAGGGAAGTTTGATGCGGGTAGATGAAACTATTTAAAACAGGTAAGCTGAGTTACATTCTTCCATTCCATCTGGCAGGAAATCATATCTCTCCTCTTTCCCACTAAATTAATAAAAGAGCTGAAGACTGGCAGGAACCTTATTAGTTTTCCCTTTCACTTCATCTAAGTGTGCCTCATTTATTCTTGTCACGGTTTATCCTGTTGTATTTTTCATTAAGTGTCATTTACATTAGTACTGATATATCAGGAATAGGACCTATGTTTCCAGCATCATCTTGGTAAAGGATGGGCAAAAGTAACTCTTGTAACTGTAAAGGATGCCTTTTGCTTTCTATTTTGAGTAAAAGCAAGACAGACATCTTTCAATTTTGGACTTGAACTCTCTCAATCAAATACTTTGAGGATGACAATGAGATCAAGACGAATCTTGTTTATTGATGCCTGGATAATTTGCAGCCATATACTGGTGAAACTGAAATGACTCCTCTTTGCATGTACTACAGTCCAAACAGAATACTTCTAGTTTAATAGAAGCTCTTTTCTTCTGGACTATACATTCCAGTGGTAAAACCAGCTGACATTTTTACACATATTTTTCATATGCAGAACATTAGGCCTGAAGTTCTGCTTCTGACTTGAAGCCATTTTTTCATGAATTTTAAAAATATCAGCAGTAAAGTCACTATTCTTTATGCTGACTAAAATAGCACTTTGGAGAGACCCTGTTTGCATGGAAGCCAATGGACCAGTGCACAATATACAAATATCTTTTAAAAAGTAAAGCTATTCCTTTCCTCTCGGTATATTGATGTCATTGTTCTGGCCATAGGGAAAGTGGTGTGATTCAGCAGCTCAGGAAAAGGGAACATGTAATCATACGCACTTCAGAATCAGAATTATGGCACGAGAGGAGAATAAGAATAATCAGCCCAGTCCAGTTGCTTGGGAATAGAAAAGCCCATGATTGTTTTCTTGCTTGTTTGGTTTTGTTATAGCTTTGTCTTGGGTTTGTTTACAGAGATGTATTTTGTTTAACCAAATATTAAAAATGAGAAAACCTTTCCCAATGTCCTGATACTTGTGTGGAAATTGAGCTGCTCTGTTTGTAAAAGTGGAAAAAATGTGCATCTCATAAATCAACTATAACTTTCCTCATGGGTCTTTTAGATATTCTACCGAAATAAAAGTACAGAAGCATAAATTATTTTCTAACTGTGAAATTGGCCTAATAAAGTTATTCCCTTATTAAGGATTGAAGATTTTTATCCCGCCCCCCCACTCCCAATGGCCAGTTCAACTATCTTAAGGTACTGGTTCAGAGTTGAAGACTTAAAACTCTGCTAGAAACCTTTTAATACCTAGTTTGAAAATGTGGCTCAACAGAGAAAACAATTTTCCATGTGGTCAACTTTTTATCGTAACATGCAATTAAGCAGAAACTGTATAGCCAGTAAGCTGAAACAATAAAGAAAACATTCTATGATTGCACTCAAACTATTTAATACAAAAGGGCTGTAGCGGACTTCCGTATCAATAGAGATGCAGCAAAATGGATGAAAATGACTTATCTAAGGTTCCCTCAGCATTGAAACATCTAACTCAAATAGAAGCTCACTCAGTGACATTTAGTATGCACCAGACTGTTCCATTGTACTTGTAGCATGTATACTTCAGTTTTTGCTGTTTCCATCTTCAGTATGTCAGGAGAGAAACACAGGACTTACATAGACAAACATTGCTAACTAAATTTGGCCAGAATCTGGCATGTCCTGAGGCGGTTTCCTGGAAATAAGGATACCAAATAAAAGCTTCCAAAGTCCTTGTTAATTGCTTTGATTATCAACTGAGAGAAGGAATAAAAAAAAATCATGATTGCCTAAGGATTAAAGAAGAGGTCAATGTCATAAAATACATACTGGGGTATGCCTCCATCAAGAACAGATGTCCAAGAAAAGAAAAAAAAAACCTGCCTAATAAACAATTTCAGTATTTCCTTCCATAATAATATGGCTCCGGGTATATGATTAAATCTTGCCAGGAAGAGAAGGCAGAGCACTTGACATTCCTCCAGAAAGCCCTGTATTTGGTCCTAATAAAATCTGTAAGAAATGAGAGCATGTCAAAATGATTGAAAGGCCAAACTAACATTCAATTTTTTGTAAGTTATTTGAGAAGAATTTCCATTTCAAATGTCGTAAACCCAACAATTGTCTTACATCATTTTTACCCATAAAAAACACAAATGTAGCATTTCTTGTTTGTAGTCTTATCATTACAAAAATACAGTTGTTGGTTCATATGATTATCAGATTTACTGTATATGAAGCAACATTTGTAAATGCACTCGCTTTTGATCCTGCAATGTGCAAATGCCTTACTGTGCCAAATCTTAATATTCTGGTTAAGTATGAGACCTGGAAAGTTTTGTTCTGACAAAAATTCATTTAAATATTTGGTTTGCTCAGAAAGTGGCCACTATTGTTCCATTTCCTATTTTATCAGATTGGCTTTATTTTTGTATTTTAAATATGTAAATAATTCTGTTCACATTTTCAATGTAATTATAATACTCCAGCAAGAGAGGGAAATCAGAAATAAGTTTTGTCATCCCTGTAAGAAAGCAATGTGTTTACAAAAATGATATGATGAAGTAACATTTTTACTATGTAAGAAAGCATTGTCAGATACTCCAAGGAATTGTTTTTCTGAAAGCACTTGTAATGGAATATTACAAAAGTCATACCATAAAATGTGCTTTCAGCTGAGAATTATGGTCACCAGTATAAAGGCTAAAAGATACCCATCACATCCAGCAATAACTGGGACAATAAATAGACATCACTTTAATAAAAGTGTGAATGTGCACATTTATTAATGTGAATTACTACATAGACTAATGAGGCTACATTGTTGATATTACTATTATGGATGAATATTTAAAAGGGATGCTGAATATATACATATATACGCATATACATACAGTGTGTGTGTGTATAATACATACATACATACATACCTACCTACCTACCTACCTACCTACCTACCTACCTACCTACCTACCTACCTACCTACCTACATGTATTTTCTTTTAGTCAGTTTTGACTTGTATCAACTACATGGACAAGACCATTCCATTTTCTTGGCAATTGTTTCAAAAATAGTGATGAGCTAACTGGTTAAATGGCTGCAGTCTAATTCTTTTTGATGTCCTAGCGCTGCCAGCAGCTGTTAGGACTCTGGAACACTAGACGTCAGCCATTAATACTGGAAGCTCATCACCACTTGCTTGATGTTAGCAATGAAAGTCTGTAGCAACATATTTTTACCAATAGTTTGCCATTTCATTTTTCTTATGGCTGAGAGAGCAATTGATCCATGGTCACCTAGCTGCATTTCGTATCAAAGATAGGCTTCGTTTCCTGGCTTCCAGTTCAATGCATTTATTTAACTATTATTACACTAAAACTAACTCTTGTAGTACAAAACTTTCATCAATCTTATGCTTTCCAAATGTGCGGGTCCAGACTTCCAAGCCAGTACTGTACATTGAACGAAAACTAGAGAAGACTAGTGTAGAAACTGAATTACAGATGAAAAATTACATTAAATAAAACGTAGCTCTTCAATGGGTTTGTTTATAAATTCTTAATAGGTTGGAGAATGAAAGATACATTGACATTCACAGACAAAAGGAAGATTAGATTCATTAAATTAGAGTTCAGAAGACTATTTACCTGTCGTTGTTGCAGCTGCTGCTGCTGCTCCATTTGCAATTTCTCAGTTTCAAAAACAACAGGAAGAACTAGGATCATGAAAGAAGTGGTCCCAATCCATAAAGCTGCCCTTGAGAATCTTTGGGAAAATGAGAGAAAGCAAAAGTATATTCTGACTTTTGCTGAGATGGAAAGTAGCCACTCTGTAGACCTCAGTTGTATGAAAGTGACCCATTTCACATAGATTCATATCTAAACTACTTATTCGTAACTGTAAAACATTTTTTAAAAATTACCAATATGCCATTCAGACCTATCATAAACCATAAAGAAATATATATTACTTTCACCCACTTTGATCTTATATGTAATTAAAACTAATGTTTTCATACTGTAGTGTTTAAAAAATTAATTCTTACTCTTAATGGAACAAGCATGGTACTCTTTAACAGAATGAAAAGCACTTAGGATTTGATTTCCAAAAGGTACTTCAAATGCATAGCAACATGTACATAAAATATGTCTGCAATGTTTTAAAGCAGCAACTATCCTCCAGAGTTGTTCCATGATCACAGGAAAGGGAGCAGCTACTTTAAGGCACTATAAACAGATGCTACATTTATGCTTTGACACACTTTTTGAAGACTGAATGCTAAGTGTTGCACATTCCTGCTTTTCAAAATATAGCAGTATGTTTATTTTAATCTGCAATCTAGCCACCAAAGGATACAGGATACCTTTCCTAAAAAGAACCAGGGGATAAAATCCAAATTTGGTTGAATAAAAAAGGTGTTATAAGTAAGAAAGACTTGTCTGAGAGGGGGAGAGAGATAAAAGAAATAGATGTGGTTTAATAGATGCATCTCACAGAAATGTGAATCATAGATTTACATTCTGCCTTTTCTTTAAGACTTCAAGGTTCTATATGTAGAACCTATTCCTCTATTCTCCCCACCACCCACACCATCATCCCATGAGTTATTCTGGACTCCTTTAGTCATACTGCTGAATTTCAGCAAGATCAGAAAGGCTGTAATATATAATTGCCTTATACCCAAAAATATTTGAATAGCGTTATTTCATTACATTCAGGTAAAAAAAGCATTCTCAAAAAATATTTGGGGGAGGAATATCTAGAAATTGTAACTATAATTTATGATAATGATATTTGGCATCTATTTTTAATTACATAGCTTTATATAAAATACATGAATATTTGTGTTTAATTTTAATTATGTGTTAAAAACAAAGACTTCAATATATTTAATAATGAACTTTTATTGCTAGAATATTAATAAATATGCTTATGCTGCAGATAATCACATAATTTAGGATTTATGCTGTTCTAAGTCCATCTCTCTACCACAATTTCAGTGACACTAGCATCTCGATCATAATGAACAATGAAGGCTCTCTGGGATCTATTGTCAGCTTTTGATACCATCAACAATATATCTTTATGCATCAGCTTCAAGAGACTCCTTAAGCAGACTCAATACTTATTTGGCTTCCATTTTAATTGTCACTTTATTTATTTGTATCCTGGGTTTATTTATTTTTTACAAATAACTCAAGCTAATAAACATATATAGGGATGTGGAGGCTCAGTGACTAAGATGCTGAGCTTGTCGATCAGAAAGAGCAGCAGTTCGCTGGTTCGAATCCCTAGCACCGCATAACTGAGTGAACTCCCGTTACTTGCCCCAGCTTCTGCCAACCTAGCAGTTTGAAAGCATGTAAAAATGCAAGTAGAAAAATAGGGACCACCTTGGTGGGAAGGTAACAGCGTTCCGTGCACCTTCGCCATTTAGTCATGCTGGTCACATGACAACAGAATTGTCATCAGACAGTGCTGACTCTTCGGCTTAGAAACAGAGATGAGCACCGACCCCTAGAGTCGGAAACGACTAGCATGTATGTGCAAGGGGAACCTTTACCTTTAATGAACATATCTAACATATCTTCCACTTCCTATTCACCCACAATAACAATCCTATGAGCTGGGCTGGGTTGAAAAAGAGTGACTGGCCCGAAGTCACTCAGCTGGCCTTCTAGGGTAAGATGGGACTTGAACTTATGGTCTGCTGCTTTCTAGCCAGGTATCTTAACCAACTGTGATTACAAGGAATGATGTACTATGATACATGCTGCAAGTTGAAATAAAGTTTTCTTAGCTTCATCTTAATTGATTAAATGGAACAGATTCCAGCCACATAGTGAAGAAACATCTCTCCAGCCAACTACGATACAGGGAGTCCTCAACTTAGAACCGCAACTGAATCAAAACTTTATGTTGTTAAGTGAGAAAATTGCTAAGGAGTTTTGCCCCATTTTATGACTTTTCTTGCC